GACAGCTCCAAGAAATGATCTGTAAATCCTGATATGTCTTTTTAAGCTGTGACGACGTTTATTTTAAAGCAGGGCTTGTGATTAACCACAGCCACTCTTCTTTGAACATAATTTTATTTATGACGTAAAATATTGTCGTTCATGTTGCCATGCTAAACTCTGCTAACTCAGCGTTTCCTATACGCAGCTATTATCAAATCAGCCGATTAACATATTTAGCGAGTGATTTCATCGGCCTCCACAAAATATTATGACTGTACTAGGGAATTTCATACGTTGACAAGATACAGAACAATATAATATTCTACAGATATAAACCACGAGCAGGCCTGCCATGTGTGAGCTAAAAGCCTGTGTTATTTGTGATATCTGCGTCACGCATCAAGCAGTGATTATCCCCATTTTATTGTGAAGGTAATTTCGTTAACGCTAAACGTCTCAGAAGATTAGTTGGCACTTCTCCATGTGTCTTGGTTGTGCCGGGTTTGAATCTCGAACCGGATCTTGGCTATCGAGCTGAGATTTATCGTGGTTTCTTTGAGTAAATTCCGAAGTATTGCCTTATATTCTGCCACGACTTCAGTCCTCTTCTTTTCAATCCATTAGCCATTAATCACCTTATCATTCTACGCTAGATAGTCTGAGCTTTTGAATGCGTCGTTAAACTATAATTAATCGAAATAGTATTGATAATTTGTTGAATGTGTCACCGAAGAATTCAATGTATATGTTGTAGAGCGTCGGTGATAGCATGATTAATGAAAAATTAATTGGGAAGAATGTTAAAGGAAGCGGTCGTGGCCTAATTTAAGGTACTATCTCAGTAGTTGCCTGGATTGACCTAAAGAAGCAATGAAATAACTTACGATAGTCAGTCTGTCGGCAGAGATTTGAACCAGAGGCCTCCGAATACGAAGCAGGAGAGATTACCATTGGGTTTCGACGTTCGAACTCAGAGCCCATCTGTTTTTGTAATTCCCTTAATGTGAGAGACCAAGTTTCTGACTCATACAAAACAGAACCTGTAATTAAATTTATGTAATCTTTTGATTGTCGTGTTCTCAGATAGGAAATTGGAAGATAAACGGTTTTAAATTGAAAAATTTCCTTATTTTATGTTTTCCTCCCTACTCAACTATGCCACGTTTCCAAAGAGTGTATTAATTATCTTTATGTTATTATTATGTTCTGAATTGTGGTGACGTTATATGAACTTACCTATTTTTTTTTGCATTGATTTATATTAATGGAATTTATCTGTACTCTGACATTTTGTTTCGTTGTTTCCAACATGTCACTCTTCATACCCAATCTATAAGAATCCATCAGGATCGCTGTCATACCTGATAGTATCTTGGTAAAAATCAGTTATATACTCCTGAATACTAGATTATGTGTTTCTGTACTCCGTACAAAGTGTCATAAAAAGTATGGAGATTGAACCTACTTAATACTGTCGCATGTTTTTTATGCGTTTTCTTTCTTCAGAGAGTTAATATATTGAGCGCGTAATATGGTGATCATATTTTTGTATTTGTGCGCCATAGACTTTCTCCCAAACATCATAACCATGTTTCGATTTCATTCCTTATGGATGGTAAAAGTAAAGTTTGTCCCACTATACGCCATGAAGGCGCTTGGGGTGAGTGGAGGTATAGCTCCTCTCTTCCTTGACCTCGGCACTAGATGGGGGTGAGTGGTCAGCATCACGCCCCGGCCGGCTTTACCCCCGGGAAAGGACCCCGGTCCCCATTGTAGAGGAGGCTGGGTGGGCCCCAGAGCCGGTCTGGACGCAGAGGCTAGAGGAAAAATCCTCTGCCCCCCGTCGGGGATCGAGCCCCGGTCGTCCAGCCCGTAGCTAGTCACTATACTGACTGAGCTATCCCGGCTCATCCTTATGGATGGTATCATATAAAATTTTTGAGACTTTACGTGAAGCTAAAATTATATTTAAGACTTCTGAGTGAGGGAGGGTCTATGCATGACAAAAAGAAGGGTTTATGAGTGCCTAAAACTTATTCAAAAGTCTTCTTTTCGATATGATGTATAATTAATAAGAAATCGAAATAAAAATAATGTTCACTAGATTATTGTTAAACTGTGAATTACAAGGGTGTCTTTACTGATAATTAGCCACTTGAACAAAAGAAGTGACTAGCAATGAATGAACACAAAATCTACAAAGCGATATAAATTATTAAGTAAATTACTTGGAATGGCTGAATATTCCTATTCATGCGGAGACATTTAGCTAGATTTTACGTCCCCAGAGACGTTAATATGTTTCGCACGAAAGGGTACAATATCCCAGGAAATTGAAACAAATGAAGACTGATAATGAGGGGAAGAAAGTCTAGAAATAATCACATAAAGTTTCTGAATTTTCAGTAAGTGATTATCATTTAAGATTTTAGATCTCTGTGGAGTTAGTTCGATGTTGCTCAGTGTTTTGCTTAGAGAACGCGGTGAATAACGGAAAGAATGAATGAATAGAAATATACAGTTAGAGTCCTGTTGTTGTTCAAAGTTAACAAAAAGAAACATTTTCTTCAAATCTTTTTTCATAAACATTACAATGAACGCATGCACTTAGATGGAACGAACTTCTAACCGAGGTCTAATCTGTTGTATGGGAACAGACGGGCATTGGTAAAAGCTGCAGAGATCTTCAGCTGACAAAGGAAAAGAACATTGCACGTTGTAACCAGTGAGGTCCGAAGGCTGTTTTGCCAGGGATAAAAGGGCCACAACAGTCCCATCTCTTTATCTTCATTACGTGGTGTTAGGGCACAGGAAAACTTTGTCTATCCCCTGTTAGATTTGAGGTTATAATGGCTGGGGTTCTCTGACTTGTAGGTTCCGTGTTGACTTCTTCCATCTCCAGCCTTGAAGATGGAAGCAATGTTATTTTTCCGAAACGTTTGTGTCCACTCACTTTGCCTGTATGCATTTCAGGTACATATTAAAACATATTTGAGACGACTTACAGACGTTTTCAAGGCATATATTTTACATCTGCCTGTCTTTGTACTATTAAAGGTACAATTTGGCTGCACGCGACAGAGACAAGCGACCGAGGCAGGCGACAGAGTTACGAGACCGAGACTGGTCGCTTCCTGTCTGCTCTCTGTACAATCGTATGAAGTACAATTACGAGCGCGAGACAAAGACAGGCGACCGCTCTCGGACCAGTAGTGTCTCGCGACGGGCTCAGGCAGCTCGTGTGTTGTTGAGTAAAATAATGGCAGAAATTAAATTTACTGGTGACCAAGATGAGCAATTGGTAGAATTAGTAGCAGAAAACCGACCACTGACCACCGACAGAAAGATCCTTCTTCACGTCTGGTTTTGAATATTGAACTCATAGGGTTTCTTTGTTTCTTTCGCAACAAATAACACAGCAACACATCATCATCTTCGAGTAACCTTTTTAGAAGCATTTTTGTACTCATTTTTCACAGAATATGTGCACGTATTTCTCAACAAAACAAAGAAAACAAACACTTTGCCGCATGTCTCGGTCGTCACCTCAAAAGTGTGTGGCGACAAGCTGCGATGTGTCCGTCTCCCGTCTCTGACGCCTACCTCGGTCGCTTGTCTCTGTCGCGTGCAGCCAAATTGTACCTAACAGTTTTCTTTGGTAGGAGTTGACGTTTATAGCCCTGATGATGGAGACAGAAAGGATATCTGAGACGTTGGTAAACTTTACCATAGTACACGGCTATATAATCCTGGATATATGTAATATTATTTAGATATTATTGATATAGATGCCAGTTTATTTTAAATTGGGGTATGGGGAACCGATAAGGTCAAAAATTAAAGTCGCCAAATATTTAACGTGGTTCGTAGACGCAGAATTTTATCTAGAACCGTTGCACGGTTTGTGATAGAAAAACATGATGACGAACGAACAGGTTAACACACGTGACTTCTTTATCATGCATTCGCTGCATGTAGAGAATGCAAAACTGGTTAAAGGAGCAAGTCGTGTATGGAATACCAGTCGTCCTGTCTTCGTCCTGACACTGAGAAATCTACCGCATGGGTGCCTTCACGTCAACAGTGAATTGCTTCTCCTCGCCGGAAAGCAGATAGTTGGAAGGTCGACCTGTTTGCCAAGACACTTCCACACAACTTGTGGTCGCGTTGGAAGCTGATCCTACCTAACTCCCTGCGACTGGTCTCATGAAATCAAACCTCCATCTCTTAAGACGCGTCTAGACTACCAGTTCCAGGTGCTGCGTAGGTCTGCACAGGCCGATATGTTAGTATTTTACCTGGTCCGAAGACCATTTGTCCCCTCCTAACCCGAGCTCGAAGTTCATATTCAAATTTGTTATCGGTAACCCACCCAAGCCCGATCTATTTATAATCTGCCTTGATTGTCACATTATTAATATATTTTTATTTTAATTTATAAACGGCAGTAATCCTTTAATGAATTGTTTAATGACGCTTTAAGAACATCTTATTTATTTTGGCATTTGAGGATTCCAAGTTTGTAACGTCTCATCTTTGTTCTGTTTCTGAGAGGGGACACCTAAGAAAATACCTGAGAATATTAAGTTGATGGGTTTGTTTCTTGTTTTTTTCTACCCATCACTTTTTGTTTCCGGTCATTTTAGGGGTCCACTGCACCCTCAATGAGTGATTACTCTGCTGTCGTCTCCTACCGAATCCGAGCAAAGTCCTGTTAATAACGTTTGTCTTAAAGCCAATCAGTCGGGCCGTACGTCACTGCGTTTTACGCTTTTACAATTATTTGTCGAGGGTCTTAGTGCTGGCCGCGGATTGTCGTCATGGTTTAGTGATCAGCGTATTAACATTGTACTGTAGAGGTCCCGGATTCGATTCCGATGTTGCCATTGATATCGAAATACCACAGTGGCCCTTACAGTCGCGTCCATCTTGAAGTTGCTGCCTTCTTGATAATTGAAGTAAACTTTTTTCAAAATTGATAAAATATATGTTGTTAATTAGTTTCTTTTTTGTTACAGATTCAGAAGTCTCGGGACTGTCGCATGTCGGTGAGTAAAATGTTCATACCAGTGATGCATTAAATCTGGCCTGATGGGTTCCATAAGCATTAAGGTTGTAACTTGGAGTAGTTCCGTTTGGTCATGTCAGTTCAGATATACATCGTGTGTCAGATATAAAAATATTGCTCTGTTTTATATAATCCATATCTAATTTATTCTTCTTCCCCCTTTTTATTTTGTCTTTCCTTTTTTGCACTTTAAAACCTAACCAAACCTACCCGAACGTAACCAAACCTAACCTAACCTGCACTCTTATTTCATATATTTTCCAGGGTTTTAAATCCATTGGTCTCGCTGTAGATTCAGTGGGAATTTCAGGATCCTGAACAAAACTTAATTATTGGGTTAACCTATTTGCAGATTTTCAATAAATTTAAAATTGACCTTGAGAATAGATGAATCGTGCCCAAGGAGGGTTTGTGACAGATACTTCGGAAATCAGATTAGGCACTGACAATTTCCCGCAAGGATTTCTTGCGTCTAGTCAGTACCGTACTTGGGGCTGTGAGCATTTATTTTTGACGAAAGATAATTCAATAATTGCAATATGAAGGAACGCGTACATAAACATATTTTAAACTTAACTTAGCAACTCAGATAAAGTCAAATACATATTAATATAAAAGTACTGTGAGTATATACTAGACATTTCATTTTTATCTCATGATTTAATTTGAATTTTTAAAAATTATATTATAACGGCATTTTATAAGTCACTAAACCCACATATAGTAATATGAATAAATAGGAAATAGAGAAACTTAACTGCTTCTTTTAACACTGGATAATATATTACATGAATAGTACTATGAAATTCACTTACATTAATTTTAAAGGCTTTAAAACAATAATTATTATAATCAATCTAAAAACATACACTTTTCTCTGTTGCGTTGCATAGGGAGAAGGCATTATGAGCTGTTTGTCCATCTGTCCAGTCGATTCTACTCGAGAACCACTTGACGGATTTGGATGAAATTTGATATGCAGGTTGTGGTATTGTACACGACCTAAAAAAATCGTTTTTTGAATGTCCTACGAGCGGTGATAACAAAAATTAAGGACAAGGACATTCGCGAAGTAGAAACTAAGGTGGTCAAAGTGGGAACTATCGAACAAGGTTGATCTAATATCTCTTAATGCACGTTGCAACAAGCACACTTTCCTAGCTTGTTTTCTTCAGCCCTTTATAACAAGATGCTCTATTACTTAGCATATATACACGATATTGTGTTCAGTTTAGAGGCTATCCATGAGACCTCATACTCATAACGGACTGCGCTAGTTGTTACATCACAGCCCGTAGCCTTACATAAAAATAATTGATAACGAACACACTTCGTAGTACAATGCTACACTTGTCGTGGTTATCAGTGGTTTTAACCTTGCACAGATCGCAAACTTCAGGAGTTAAAACGAAGCTTTTTCCCCCCCAAACTGCAATATACCTGTATCTGAATCAACTGAACTTATCGAAGGACAGAACAGGCATCCATTAGAGAACAAAAAAAGATAAACCTGCTCACTTCATACAACAGAGTCCTTCTTGAGAAGGTGACATTTATATTCTCCGCCATTTATTAGGATAACTGTATCATGGAAGAAAAGATGGGCGGGGCATGTAGCCCGCATGGGTGATAGAAATACTTTACAAAATTTTGGTCTGAAAGACTGAAGTGAAGGGACCACTCGGAGGATGCTATGATAATATTATAACGGATCTTGGATTGGATTCACCTGGCTTAGGCAGAAACGTGTTGAGTTTTTCTTTAAACATTAATTTTTCTACCTTGCTTTTAGAGACGTATTATGTTTATAGGCCAATATGGCCCATATTTTTTATCATCTTGGATCGAGTAGTTTTTCGGTAGGTCCCAAGCAACAAGAAACCCTCCTGGCGCTATTTTTCAAAACTAATATTCAGCGTTTCTTATCTTTGGCAGTGATTATTCTGAAATGACAAATTACCACAGTTTAAGATCAGAAATACATTTTATTGAAAAGTGTACAAATTACTGTAGAGTTACTTGTTATTTTAAAATTTCTCCAGAAACTTCTTGTACTGTATCTGACACAAATTTTCCCTGGAAAACTTCTATTTCACTGTAAGTAAAGTAAAGTAAAGTTTGTCCCACTATACGCCATGTAGGCGCTTGGGGGGTGAGGAGGTATAGCTCCTCCCTTCCTTGACCTCGGCACTAGATGGGGGTGAGTGGTCAGCATCACGCCCCGGCCGGCTTTCCCCCCGGGAAAGGACCCCGGTACCCATTGTAGAGGAGGCTGGGTGGGCCCCAGAGCCGGTCTGGACGTAGAGGCTAGAGGAAAAATTCTCGGCCCCCGTCGGGGTTCGACCCCCGGTCGTCCAGCCCTTAGCTAGTCACTATACTGACTGAGCTATCCCGGCTCATTCTATTTCACTGTATGTTTTTGAAAGTCAGTAGAATGTGTGGTGTTTGTACGTAAAGCAGCAGACGAGATAATCATGATTTGTTTCCCACTCTATTGGAATGAAGAAAATAAATGAACTTCTAATAACTGGTAACGAATTATAACTTCGCTGTCTTAGTTACAAATGGTCCGCGGGCCACCAGTTTTATCATGCTGGTGTAGGCTATATTTAACGACGTGAGACATTACTGTAGTGTCTGTAATGTCGCTGACTTTGTAACAATATATTTGTGTCTGTAACACGTAACAAAAAGAATCTCATGTTAAAAATAGTTCACTGCACTGAATATCACTAAGACACTTTCTCGTTGCTTGTGACTGACGAATACAAACCAGTGTCTATTCACAAGGTACCACCAACTTCTTTTTTTACCAATAAGAGACCGAACGAGGCGTGTTAAAACATTGCTATTGAGTGTGTCAGTACATTGTGTGGGTGAATGAATACTTTTGTTTGGACCATGACAGTAGAAACTGGTACAAAGTGTTTGCATTCCAAGTCACTCATGCACCAGGTCGTAATGTTAATCAGCTTAACAGAACAAATCACGTAGCAAAGTTTTGGCACGACCAGGTACCATGAGCAGAGAATACTGACTCTAATAGTATTCGTAAAACAAAGATAGTCTAATGGGTACACAATATCTGATCATCAGTGTCTGTCCGTAACTCCGTGGCAGAAGCTACTTTCGAAATTCTTCGTCTTGTATGGAACTCGAAGGTTCATTAACATTTTAGTAATATCCTGTCACTGGCCACTAACTAGAGTAAGATTCATCCTATTTAAGATTCGTTTTAATATTATCCTCACATCTATGTCTTTCACTTTCTTCCTCTCGGGTTTCCTTACCAAAAAATTATGTGAGCCTTGCGGTTTTCCTCTCAGACAAGATAAGTATATGGGGCTTCTGACTTGTAATGCCGTATGGATTTGTAGGTAAATATAAAAGTTTCGGAGGAGCTTCCAGTCTTATCTGTCAGTCGAAACTTGTCCTTCAATCGGGTTCACCCAGTTTGATAAGTGAAGTTGGTTTGTCGTTTCATCTGAATTACAATTTGATTCAGCGTTGTAATGTAACAGTCGTGAGAATTACGTGTGGGCAAGAACATTGGTCAGTGCAAATACTTGCTTCTTGCACTGTGGTGTATTTTCTGGCTTGCTCCTGTTACGGTTTTGTCACTCCCAGGTGACAGCAGCTTTGTTTGTTTTCTTGTGGTCTCCGACGCCTTCTTATATAAACTTTCGTTCTGCAGACAGCCACGTCCGTGTTATTGTGAAGGGAGAGAAAGCCGAGCATAAAGCCAATATTTTCAGGGACGACTCAGTGACCAGGTATCTCCAAAGACCGGTGGTACATTGCCCACAATCCTTCGAAATTCTTCCATACGTTGGTTGAAAGGTCAACAAATAATTTTGCGCATAATAATCGATTAATTAATTAATTAATAGCTTAGTTATAAGTTGTAACGCATGGATTTATTCAGATCAAAATATTTTTATCTTCTAGTGTCCTATTTCGAAATTTAACACAAAAGAAGAAATATAAAACTTTGCATAGTGCCATTATTTTGTGTGCTGAAGAGACTGTTTGATTGTATGAAAGTTTAATTAATAGGCGATTCGTTAAAATTGTGTAACAAATATTGTTTAGTCAATATATTGGCAACTATCATCCTTATTTGGAGGCCGTCTCCTCCGCCCAAAACGTCAACAGGGCGCCAAAACATGGCAACTGACCCACTTAAAACGAAGGTATTTTTATTTAGTGAACGTAAACAAGGGACGAGGCTCACATATTCCATTGTCGCTGTGAAAGATTTGCTTTAGCTGTGTGACCTTGAAATATCTGCAAGTACTTGTGGCAGTGCAGCCAACTATGTTAGACCAGTCCAAACCGCTTCTATCCACTGCCCTGCCACACTGCATGGTTTCCTCGCTGTCACATCCTCTCTGAGTTACGTCTTTCTGTAACGAATTTCTCTTAACCACTACATTTCTTAATAGCTGATATTGCAACCCAAGTATCTTTGCTAATTGACTAACTACATTGCAGGGAGATGATGGCTGACAATTTTTTTACTAACATGCAACAACTTAACAGGAATGTGGATATAAAACCTGGCGAAGAACGTATTAAAATGTATTCTCAACTTCATGTGTTAATGCGATTAAATCAGGAAGAATGAGATGGATCGGACATGTACGAGGTGCGATCGGAAAGTTTCAAGACTGTGTCAATAGAGGGCGAACCGGATGTAGTACGAGCTTCTGCCGCTAGGGGGTGCGGCCTACATTCATAGTGAATCAGTGTGCCAGCCGGCAT